GAAGTTGACTTTCCCTTCGGTGCTCTATCTCCATGAGGCTCGAGGGTCCCGATGATCCGAGTTTATCGGACCACTTCAGGCTTGATCCAATGAACAATGATGAGCTCGGAAGGGAGACATTTTTGTCAACCAAAGACCGGAAGGAATATTGATGATCGTCAACAGTGGCATAGATTCAAAATCTCCGCAAACACACAAGAGTCTACAAAACAGGGAAAATATCAAAAGTAGAAGTAAAGAAGATGTCTTCATATTTCATAAATATTGGCTTACAACAGCACTCGGGGGGTCCTTACATACAATTACAAAAGCTCGCAATGGGTCCTTACACAGAAACAAAAAATTCAAAGGGATGCACACACGTGGTAAAATTCTAGAGCCTAGTCTACTCTCGAAGGTCCACCTCCTGCAACAAACACCTCCGGGTATGCATCCTCAGAAGCCTCATCCCGGACTTCCGCACTGATATCCCCAAAAGATAGGTCGAGAAGCAGGGAGGGTTGAAAAAATGCGATAGCCCGCCAAAGGTAGAGAACCCTCACTGGTCAAGAGAACTTTAGAGAGACAGCAGACCTAGCGAGCATCGGCCACGCTTGCACGACTACTTTGAATCAATATCTTGGAACATTGAGCTATGCAAGCTGCCAGCTCAGGGCAAAGCACCACGTCAATCCTGGGTATGAAGGTGAGCAGCAGTGTATAATCTGAGCCCCCTTATGAGCAGCGGTATATAGTCCGAAGAACTTTTTACAAGCCAAGAAAGTTGACCCCCATACATCATCGTCTTGAGCCAATAGGGATAGCGACAACAAGTGTAACAACCACAACAGTAGCGACAGAACGTTATAATCATGATCGATAAAGGGGAACTCAGGCAAAAGGCCACGACACGGCCTATCAGAACGCTTCCAAATAACCCTAAGTCCGTGAATTCCAAACATGGTGATCAATAATAGTACAAGATAGCGAGGAGAAAGGGATGGATGAGTACATGAAGGCACTTGGATAAAGAAACAACGCCAGAATGCCCCCATTTATAGGAGATAATGACAAGGTCATCGAGGCCTTTGCAAGATTGATCGGCAAATGCAATTACTGCGCTCTTGAAAAACCGAACCGATAGCGGTACTTTCACCTTGGAGAATGGGAATCGACAGTGCATTGAATGATGTCGAAAATACAAGTCCATAAGATATCCTAGTTATCGTAAAAACTCGCGCCATAGAATACGTCATCGGTATGACATCATCACAGAAAGCTCAAAGAGTCGGGTATCAGAATCGTTTCAAATCGCTTTGTTCTGAGAAACGTAGAGACTATCTGTATGCGGCAAAATCAGAGGGCATAATTTCTTGCTATCGAGTCACTTCAAAAGAACGCCTCGAGACCCCGAGGACGCGAAGTTGTGATTGAGTTTCCTCCCTCGGAGCTCGTCGAGGTCCGACTTAAAGAAGTTATAGATTGTATGCGGCGAAATCAGAGGGCCTAATTCCTTGCTATTAAGTCACTTCAGAAGAATACCTCGAAACCCCGAGGACGCGAAGCTGTGACCGAGTTCCCTCCCTCGGAGCTCGTCGAGGACCGACTTAAAGAAGACGTAGATCGAGGCTAGAGCAAAATGGGGAATTCCCAAGGCACACGGCTAAGTCTAACAAAGCCGGTCTACCTAGAGCCTGTATCAAGGCATCGCGTCTAGCCGTCCCATCTCCATTCTCTTACAATCAATATATTTTGTACTATGGCAGGACTCCCCTCCTATATAAAGGGGATCATCATCTCTTTGTAAGGGGCTGCTATTGCTCAAACTATTCTACATAATATCAATAACAACCCTCCCTCTTTCTTTTCTCCCTAACTTATTCACTCGAGGCTATCGCTTCCATTTATTGTTTTCATATTTGTTCTTCATTTATTGCTTGATATTGGCCATAAAGAGCCTCTGTTCAATTAAATCATATCTGTTATTCCCTTCTCGGTAACCCCCGATAGCTCGAGCTCGAGCCTAGGCATCAATCTCGAGGCCTTTCATTGGTTAGCTCGAGGCCCGGATGCCTAGCTCCTCGGTTTAATTTCAACCCCGTGTTAGTTCGTACTTCGTCATTAAGCTTCACATACCTGGCATCCACTTTTCTAACAACTAGCATAAAAATAGATCAAGTATTTTTAGAGTCCCATTAAAAAATTTAATTATTATTACCATTTTCACGGAAAACATTGTGTATTCAAGCCACGAGTACATTGTGATATTGAGTCGGTTAGTGAGGCTAGGATTGTTATGAGCATGTTGTCTTTGTTTGAATATTTATGAAGTATGGCATATGTTAAAGGGAAGTGTATGGTGACTGCATATAATAGAGTTTAATTGTTGCTATCAACCATGATCATTGGTGTAAAGTGCTCTAAGATAGAGTTAATTGTTGGTTGACTCAAGGACGAGCAACGTTTAAGTGTGGGGTGTTGATATTTGGCTTAAAGTACGTATTTTTTACCTATATTGCCTCACATTGTGCTCATGTCTCTTAGATTTCAGATATATAATATAATGATTTGTGCTAATTTTTGGTATTTCTATGTGTATGAATCATTCGGATGCGACTTGGAACGAAAGCACGCGAATTGGAGCGAAAATGAGAAGAAAAGGCAAAGTGCACATTTGAGGGCCACAGGCAGCATGGGGCGCTACCTGTGGCGCTCAAAACAGAATGCTAAAAAGTTGAGCGCTAGGGCCAGCGCCCCACGCTGCCCTAGATGCTCAAAATGTGAACATGTCCTATTTCGATCGGGACTCAATTATTTGGACCCCAAGGTATCCCCAACTTATATAAAAGCCAGCCTAAACCTATTTTGAGGGAGATGACGTTTTTGAGAGGAAAACACAAGAACAGAGCCACTGTGGAGGCCAAAATTCATCAAGTTCCATCTTTCTTCCACCAAACTTAGTAATTTTTTTGTTTCTTTGTATGATTTGTTGTTTTGCTACCATGTCAATGTGGAGCTAAACTTCATGTTCTAGGGTTGTGGTTCTTCATTACTATTGTTATTCGAATATTGATTTCGATTTCTTAGTTTATCATATTGGTTTATTTATTTAATCCCGCATTTGATTATTTTGATTGCTTGATCACCAATTGAATACTATCTAAGAATCTTGAATTGAACTCGAAAGTGGGAATTCTGGATTGCATATAGGATTGAGTAGAGCAAGTTCTTGATTCCGGGCATCGGGGAATGTATTCGCGATTAGGATAGACATATACCTAATTGCCTTGTTTGGTTGATGTATAGGAATTATAAATGCATTCTTGTTGATTCTAAATCCATAGACATATAAGCATTAGGTTAGCTTGAATAGGCAATTAGAACTCGACAGATTCTTATCAGCAATATTAACCCTGTCAACCAATAAACTAGATAAATTAATTAGTCAATTCAATTGAAGAATATAATAGGAATGTTAGATAGCCCATGACCCTAGATCGTTTTGGTATGTGGCGAAAATCAGAAGACTTATTTTCTTGCTATCAAGTCATTTCGAAGGGATGCCTCGAGACCCCGAGGACGTGGAGCCATAGCTATGTCCCCTCCCTCGGGGATCGTTGAGGCCCGACTCAGAGAAGACAGAGATCGAAGCCAGGACAGAAGGGGAAGCTCCCAAGGCACACGACTAAGTTTGACAAGGCCGGCCTATCTATGATTTAGTTTGCTTTCTTGGAGTCTCTTGCTCTCTTCTTTATACTGGTTGAGGCCGAACCTTTCCCGATGACGCTGGTGGTGTTCATCATATTCTCCAACTGGATCTTCCAAATAGTCTTGGCAGTCACAATCAAGATCCCAAGGGCAGTGTCCCGTAAAGGGGCATTTGAACCACCAAACCCTTTTTGCTTATTTGTCAAAATTTTGGCACCAGTCATGTTCTTCCATGATGCTTTGTATATTCTAGAAGAATTCTCCATTAGGTTCAGGGTATGTGTTTGCTCTATCTTTGGGTTGAATCATTTGGCAAAAGAAGATGGTTTTATTGGGTTTTTTGATATGGGAATGGTCAAAGCTTATGCAAACGGTTTTGTCACTTCTTTTGGTAAAAGTTGGTTCATCAGATTGCACAGATTCCTCCAGTTCTCTTAACTTTTCATAATTTGTGATCCAGGAATCAGGAAGAATTTTAACAAGTTCATCTCTGGAAATTTGTCTGGATATTTGGGTGCACATTGTGTTTCCTTTGGTAGCATCAATATTTAAGAGTAAAGCATTTTGTCCTCCAGGAAGGCAAAGATCCATAGCATGATTTTTGACTCGCCATACCATTTGGTGATGAAGAGTGGCTTAGATAGAATCTTTGGCTTGAGGGGCTCCTTGGATTTGGACTTGGATTTTTAGATCTTCGATTAAGTATGGATCATAAAGGGACATGTTGAAATTTGGAAAGATAGTTATGAAGACAGTCTCAACATTCAGTATAACTTCATCAGTACCCAGATTTGCATGTTGGTATTCCAAGTATCTTGTATCTAGAAGAGAAAGGCGAGCTACAACAGGTTGACCATTTCTTCCGTGATATGTTGAAACTATTCGGATAGAACCAAAATGGATATGGGTAAAACTATGATCTCTCTATTGTCTGGAAAAATCATCTGGGATGTGAAGTGTGATAAATTGTTCTTCCCGAGTGGCAAGAATACGATGTTGGTCAAGTTTTGAGGCAGCAACATATTCTTTGACTCCTTTTGGTCTGTGTTAGACTAAGGAACAAATTTGGGTCCAGGGTGCAAATGATATTTTGGCAAAGGATGAGTAAGGGTTTATCAAAGGTAGTTTAGTGGAGGATACTTTTTGTTCGTCGGGTAGGATATCTACTTCATAGAGGTAATCATATTTTTTGGACAAGGTTTTATATAGAGTAGGGGACATATTCATTTTTGCAAGGGAAGAGGATGACGGAAATGACTTAGACATATTTAGTAAACTGTTCCCCCCTCCGAAAGGATGGGCTGGCTCTGATATCACAGTATAAAGAAGAGAGTGGTATTATGTGGGGTTAGCACGCCATCTGCATCTGCATCATCAAATTTAATACTATCTTCTTCCAAAACTTGTCGAATTCGCTTCCCGTGTGTAACTATTATTTTTGACACTTTCTTGGTTGTTGTATATGTTACGCCATTGATCTCTTCTCCTCCACTTATGACATTAACCGTCCTTTTTGGTGAAGGAGGATTTGGCGGCTCCTGCCTATTCTTCATATATGCTTTCTTTCCCTTTTCACTAAACAATTCGGTTAAATATCCTTGTTTTAATAAATGTTCAACTTCACCTTGTAGCAATCTACAATCCACCATTTTGTGACCGTGATCATTGTGAAACTCACACCAAAAATCTGGATTTCGTCTGTTCGGGTTTGATCTCATTTCCTTTGGCCACCGTACCTTGTCTCCCATACTCCTTAAAATAGATACCAGCTCGGATGTGCTAACATTAAAACTGTAACTGCCGATCTTTGCCTTCGAGCTTTTGTCATCATCTCGCGTCTCTCGCGTGTTTCGCTCTTATCCGAACCTTGAACCTGACTCTCTATCTCTTGATCTATGATCGTACCTTGGTTTTTCTTGTTTTGAGCATGAGTTCCTTCCTGCTGGTCCTATGTAAGGCTCGTACCTATTTTTACTGGACCTTTTTTTGGTTTCAGCTCGTCTTGAACTTACCCTTTCATCTTTTCGAGACTGAGGGATGATATCTTCTTCTATCCGCAGCTTCATGCTATATCTATTATAAACATCATTCCAAGTTGTTGTTGGAAATTCTCGTCGACTTTCCTTGAGTCTCCTCATAGCTTCTAAGCTTTTTTCATTTAGATTACTAGTAAATGCCATAACCACCCAGTTATCATGTACATGTGGCAACATCATCCTCTCTCGCTGGAATCTGTTAACAAATTCCCTAAGTAGCTCCGTATCTCCTTGTTTTATTTTGAAAATGTCCTCCATTCTTGTTTCAACTTTTTAAGCTCTCGAGTGTGCTTTGATAAATGAATCTGCAAGCTCAACAAAAGAATCTATAGAATTTTCAGGTAAAAGAGAGTACCTATTAATGCTCCCTTAGTGAGTGTTTCTCCGAATTTTTTGACCAATACTGATTCAATTTCTTGCTTGGTCAAGTCTTTGCCCTTTACACCGGTTGTGAATTCAGTTATGCGATCCCGTGGATTAGATGTTCCAACATATTTCATAAATCAGGCATCTTGAATTTCTTCGAAATCGGTACAGGAGCAGCACTTGGCTTCCAAGGTTGTTGTGAGTATTTGTCCATATTTATTCCCTTGATTATAGGTGGCACTCTAGGTATTTGCTCTATGCAGTCGCTCTGCTCCTTGATCTATTTCTGTAGAGTTAGTACTAAATTTTGTAAATCAAAATTAACTAGGTTACCTCGCTCTCTATCACAAGATTCGCTGGAAGTTCCGCCACTGCCTGAATTAACGAGTCCTGAGCGAGGATTTTCTAGGGTGTTGTTGTTTGGAGTTGGGGTTGGCAGTACAAACGGCAACTGGTTGGTAAAAGCCTGAAGAGCATTGCTGACCTGTTGAGCGATTAATTTTTTCAAAGCTTCATCGATAGCTTGATCATTTGCAAGTCTGTCATTTTCATTCGATTCAGATCTGTTAGGAGTCCCCTCTCATGATTTGTCGAGGAGAATGTTGTGGCGAAGGGGGTGGAGTTCTGTCACCTTGTTAGTTCAGCTGATGTTGAGGATCTCCTTGGTGTGGTAAATTTTGTTGGTTAATGTCGTTGACATTCGACATGATTGTTTTTTATAAAAGAATCAATTTGGAAAGCAAAATATTATCATATTCCCGGTAACAGAACCAATTTGTTTAATCAAAAAATAGGAATTTCGGTCAAAGCTTAATTTTAAAAGTAGTCGTGTTATTGATAATCAAATATAGAACAAATAAAAAGAATTGACTGAAACGATAGCTGAATAAGTGAAAGAAAGCAAAGTAAATCAGTATATTCCAATAATATTTTGTGTCCTTACAAATGTTATTTCTTTCCTTTTATAGTTATTTCTAAGTAATACGTTTCTTTCCTCTCATAACAGATCCATTATGAACAATTAATGGCATTAATGTAACGTTATAATTAGCAATCGTAATTGTTTCGTGAAGATTCTATAACGTTTTCCATCATTGATCCTCATTAATTACGGATAATATGTATCTGCACTTTTTGCTATCTAGGTTCATTCCTCTAATGTCTCTTCAAATTACTAAGAGGTCTGAGTAACCGTTCCTTCCTGTTTTATTGAATCTCTGCTCGTGCCTGTTAAGGCTCGTGTCTCTTCAATTATTCGTTGCCAACTGTCATTTTTTTATTGATCCACGTGTCTTGACGTGTCAGTATCTAATTAATACCAAATGTTAACTTGATTTTTCCCAATACAGCATCCAACCCCTCCTCCTCCAGTTAGAGCACCTTTTTTCATATTTTTGCACTCCAAACACCCTAAATCATCACACACAACTCCATTAGTCATAAAACCAATAATTAAACTATGTTGAGCATTTTAAACACCAAATAGCACCAAAAAGTGGTTAAAACAAGGATAAAATAACATCAAAACCTAGAGAAATATGCCCGACATTATCATGTTGTACTGCTATGGACAAAATAATATGCATCGTGGTTGATTCAGTAACCAGATTGAATGTCTCATAAAAGTCCAGGCCCGAACGTTGTGTGAATCCTTTAACAATTAGGCGTGTTTTGTATCTATAGATAGAATAATCTGCTTTCCTTTTGATCGGTATAGTCATTTGCAATCAACCGTATTTTTAAGGGGTCATGTGGTACCAATTCCCAAGTATTATTCCTTATTAGGGTCTCATATTCTGCTTTAATGGCTTTCTTTCACTCTTCATATTTTTTGGCTTGTTTGAAAGTAGTAAGTGTAGGAGAAAGGTGTGCTAGGTAGCTGAATTGTTTTTTGGGTTTGAAAATATTATGGTGAGAATGTATCACCATCTTAGAAGGTGTAAGTTTGACAATGGTTGGTGGGTTTAGTGTGATAGGTGTATGCGGTGAAATCATAGGGGTCTATTTCCCGCCTTTAAGGTAAATTTGGAAAATCATATCAGCACCTCGAGGCTGCGGGATCACGATCGAGCTCCCTATCTCGAGGATCATCCACGACTCTGAAGAGACTCTGAGGTTAAGGGGTCTGTCCGTGACCCAGCGAAGGTTTCAAAAATGGGGGACTCCCTAGGCAAACGACTAGAGTCAATAGGCACTAGTACTATGCCTAGCTGTTCCATCCCCATGTCTTTTCATTCAATACGCCCTGTACTATATGGTATTCCTTCTCCTATATAAGGGGAATCCATGCCACTTTCTAAGGGACTGATGTTGCTCCATTTCTCCATAAGTGCAATAATATCTCTCTCTCTCTCTATTCTTTCTAACTTGTTCGTTCTCACTGCCCCAAGGTCGCCTCGATATTCATTGCTTTCTTATTTGTTCTTCATCATATAACTTAGCATTGGCCATAAAGAGCGTTGTTTAATTATATCTTCAACTGTTATCCCATCTTCGACCATCCCCGATAGCTCGAGCTCGACCCCGAGGTTCCTCATCGACTAGACACAGGTCTGGGCAGGAGGCCTTGCGGTTCGATTATCATCCCGTTTTAGCTTGCATTTACTCTTTACACTCCATATTATTAGCATCGACTACTCTAACAATTAGCTCGGGAATAGATCACGTATTTTTAGAATCCCATTTACAAATTTAATTGTTGTTACCATTTTCACGGTAAAAAATTTGGCGCCCACCGTGGGGATAAAAATAATAGTGATTATTTTCTTGCTAGTTTCATTACACAAACGCACATTATCTTTCACACTTTTTCTTGTCGAAGATCTCTTGATTTCAGGTCAAAATGTCTGGCTCGGTAAGCAAAGTCGAGAATGACTAACCTAAAAATCATGGCGAAAATGGTGAGGCTGTTCCAATGGCTGGCACGACGCCGTGAAGCCCCGATAATGTATCTGGGCCATTTCCAGTGGAGGCAGATTCACAGGACGCACATCAAGTAGACGAAACTTCTCACACAGACAGGAGCATTTAGCATATCGACCAACAGGAAGCCCGACCAACCCCGGCTCGGGAAACATATGAAGTTAGCCTTCACGATATTTTTGAAATATTGTAGGCATAGCAGTTGGCTATCGCTCAGCTACACAACCATCCGAAGACTCCCAGCACAACAATGTCAAAGACAGCTCTGTGCGCCGAACGAGAACACGAAAGACCAAGCAACGACGGATCGATAACAGACCGCGCCATAGCAAAGATGCTCGGGGATCTCTTCAAAATGATCGAGTTAGGTTCATGGAAGTTCATGCAATATCTCCCCCCAGCAACAGCGGTCCCAGAACCCGCTTCACGGAAATTCGGAACGCCGGAACTCCCCAGGCGCGACAGGACCTCGGATCCCGACGAGCACGCCACCGCTTATACTTACACGGAGAAAGGAAGCGACCTTATAGATGATAAGTTAGATCCCATCTCGTTGAAGAAGTTTGGAGAAACACTCTCAAAAGAAACCATGGTGTGGCGCCACAGCCTAGCGCCCGTTCGCACATACTCGCTTACCGTACCAGTAGATTCCTCCGTAGAAGCATACGCCGATGCCATCGAAGTAGTAATGGAAGAGCCTGATACATTGGAGGCCAAACAAATAGAGAATGAAACACCATAGGAAGTCACACCTCATCTCCTGATAGGACGAGTGAGATCGTCCCCGGTTTCGGATAACTGGTCGATGTAGGTCTTCACCCGATGTGTAAACGAGGCATGCCCAATGACTCCAGGTCTATCCAAATGATGCTTAGTCAGATGCCCAACCCAGACCTGGCCATATGCCCATACCCGACACCAGCCACGAATCAGGGCCATGGACAACAGTCCGGGAGCCTCTACGGTCCCAGTGTACCCAAGCAGGCCCCCAGCAAAGAAACTAATGCCAAACGGATGGAGGTACCATCTGTGCACCATGAATGAAAGGAACGCCACAAGATGCAACCTACCTCATAACTTTAGGGAAATAGTTCAAGGGCAGCATCCTCGAGGAACCTTCAGTAGAACTTGATCAGACGAGGCACAATCGGTAGAGGAACCCTGCCCAGCGGAGTACAATTTCAGCATTGCCATACCAAACATTATGATCACCATAAGCAAAACAAGGGATGCCGAACGACTCGGGCCTATTCGACCAAGACCCTTTCAAAAGAATCACAACCCGACGTGGGAACCACAGGGCGCACGCGACCATGGGTCAAAATTGACCCCCATCTCGGAAAGCCGACAGTTGTGTTACTCAATAAAAGTCGCCGCTGAGTACCATCGAGCAGCCAGGTTCAAGTCCAGCCCCAAGGAAGGAAGGCAACTGGGAAGTATGAAGTGCACAAGCCACGAAGTATTACCATGACAGTGAAGGAGCGGCGACACCCTCCGAGGACTCATGAAATGGAAAGTCAAAATGTTCGTTGTTAGGAAAAGATGGGTCCAGGGAAGTATTCCGGAAGACACCCTTACGTCCAGGGAAGTATTCCGGAAGATACTTCGCCTCGGCATCACACTAACGCATTGGTAACCCTCTCCCTCATTTTATCTATTTTCAAATAAAACATGTGTCCATGAATTCAGGTGGTTCAATCACGTACAACAATAAGGTGGTCCGGGCTAACGGACCAAATCACTCCCGCATCCTGAATCGCCACAAAGACCATACTCTTAATATGGCCCGTATGAGCTCGGGCCAAGACGTCGAGCTCTGTACCGTCGGCACACCACCCAAAGACAGCATCGGCCCCATTTCCGCCAAAACCGTGGAACTCCTCGCAAAGGGCAGAACTAAATTAAGTCGATAGAAAGAGATACGCAACAAGAGGAAATTCTTCACCGTATGATGCATCGCCGGTATCAAT